AAAAAAATATTTAATTTTACTTAAGTATCAGAAAAGTTACTAAACTAATTTTTGTACAAGAAGCACATATTTTTCGCTATTTTTCCTGTTTTAAAATTTGTATATAGATGAGAAATATGACCGCACACAAAAAGGTTAAAAAAGTTTTCAAGTAAAAAGAGTGAGCTAGAAAAGGGAGAGAAGTAGGAGAGCAGCAAAAGAAAGGAAGGTGGAGGGTCTGTTATCAGTTTCCACTATTATTTCCCCATCAAAGAAAGCAACACCACAGTATTATTACCAACAACACCACAGTATTATTACCCACAAGCACCACTACCTTACTCTGATCCACCAAATCATCATGTTACTGCTTCCCTCATTTTCTTCCTTAAGTAATTCTCATCTTACATTCCCTTGTTTTGTTGCCCAAATGTTTAGGGTTTGTGATCTCTATCTTTTTCTGATCTATTACATTCAGTTTCTTAATGCAAATTGGTTATGTCTGCATTTTTTTTAATTTTTCTTTGTTGTTATGTATGCCACATTGTTTGAGTTGACTAGAAATTCAGTGAACTGGGCTCCAGATCTGTAATTTATCATGAATATGTCATGCTACTGCTTTGTTATTCCCTCTTTCTGTCTCTGTTATTGCTAAATGGCAACTCAAATCTCTCTGCATTTGCTGCCACACATCATTCTGATCATTTTTTAATCATTTCAGAATGTATTTGATGTTGGAATTTGCTTCCTTTGTGATTTTGGGGTACTTATTGGAAGCTATACTTTTGTGATTGATCTTTTTGATTTCCCCATGAAGTCAAGTATGAGTGGATCAGTTTCCCTAATGTGCTTTTTTAACAATGTACTCCCCATCCCAACTTATGTGATGTTACTTCCTTTTAAGTCTGTCCTAGAAAGAATGACAATTGTTTATATTTAGAAACATTTAACTTTGAATTTCCAGTTTTACCCTTAATGAGATGGTTCATTGTCGCCCAAAAATATGTTGTTCTAATGGTTGATCAGTTTCCTTGATGTGCTTTTCTCAAAAATGTCGTATTTACTGCTATCTAAATGTTTAAACAGTACTTCTATTGAAATAGGTACGACCCCACTGTTGGATACGGTGAGCAAAAGCAAGTTTTAGAGCCTGTTGACAAGTTTCTGTTGAAGGGTGTTAGGGACTGTCCGCGTGCATTGCCATTGGGCGTCTTGCTGATAGTTTAGGTTTGGCCTTATAATGGGTTCTCGATTCCCATCTCATCAGTTGAGCAGTGGCCTTTATGTATCTGGCCGGCCTGAGCAGCCAAAAGAAAGGACTCCAACTATGAGCTCAGTTGCCATGCCTTATACAGGCGGGGATATCAAAAAGTCTGGAGAACTTGGAAAAATGTTTGTTATTCCAACAACGGATGGCTCAAGATCACGGAAATCTGGACCTATCAACAATGCCCCGTTGAGAACTGGATCCTTTGGTGGCGCTACTTCTCATTCAGGTCAACTGAATTCAGTCAATCGTATGACTTCTGCTGGAGGTACTGGATCTGTTTCTTTGAAGAAGACCAATTCTGGGCCTTTAAATAAACATGGGGAGCCTATGAAGAAGTCCTCTGGTCCTCAAGGTGGGGTAGGTACTGTTTCGTCCCGCCAAAATTCTGGACCTATCCCCCCAGTTCTCCCTACCACAGGCCTCATTACATCTGGTCCTCTAAACTCTGCTGGAGCTCCTCGAAAAGTTTCAGGTCCTTTGGATTCAACAGGGTCTATGAAATTGCAGCATTCTGCTATAGTTAATAACCAAGCTGTTACTCGCATTAACCAAGATGAAGAATATTCCTTCCGCAAGAGCTTCCCGAAGCCAATATTTTGGTCCATCATTCTTTTATTTGTGATGGGATTTATTGCTGGTGGCTTTATCCTTGGCGCTGTCCGCAATCCCATTCTCCTCGTAGTTGTTATTGTCCTTTTTGCTGTAGTCAGCGTGGTGTTCATATGGAATACTTGTTATGGAAGAAAAGCTATCATTGGTTTCATTTCTCAGTACCCAGATGCTGAGCTTAGAACTGCAAAAGATGGCCAATTTGTTAAAGTTTCTGGGGTATGTATTGTCTTTGCGCGAAACCTTTGTGTACTTCGTTTACCGCTCTTTCTATCTTGTTTTCTTGTTCAAATTGCTTCTACATTTCTCAGTTTGTCAAAGTTATCCTCCCTTTACTAAGGACAGGTGAGATGTAAACTTGGTAAGTAGTGATGGTAAGTGGGGTATTACTGTTAGTTTTCTATTAATGGATTATTTAACTCTTGATTTAGTTTGTGCCTTCAATAGATGCTTTCATGTTTAATTATGAAAATATGTTCTCGTTGGAGTATCATGGTGTTTCTATTCTGTGTATGAGACTGCTAATGATGATTAAAAGTTTTATATTCACTTTTGGTTTTATTATGTTTTGGTGAAACAAATTCTTTTAATTGCTTTGCAAAAAGAAATAATGTTGAAAATATGAAAAACTCTGTTATTGGGGATCCGGGGATTTAAATTATAAGGTATCCTTTGTGTAATGGAGAGTTGCAATTGAAATAACCAGCGAAATTTTTAATATTCTCTTTTAGGCACTTCTGACATGGGCTGCAATGCTATAGATGATTATTCTACATTCTACAACTGTATTCTACTGGCTGCTGAGGAAAATGTAAATTGGAAAATGGATTCTTTATTGTTCTAACTTATGTAAAATTCTCCTTTTAAAACTTCTTTTTTTGTTTAACTTGTCTTCTTGAGGGCTTAAAATACTCTTCCTACAGTTATATGAGTAACTTGCTTGGATTTAATAGATATTGTTAAGCTTGTATTTTACAATTTTTTATGTTGTCCTTGTTGGATTCTGAGCACAATTTGGATATCCTATCCTGGTTTTCTGATTTTGCAGGTTGTTACCTGTGGAAATGTTCCTCTTGAATCCTCATTTCAGAAGGTTCCTAGATGTGTTTATACAGTCACAAGCTTATATGAGTACCGAGGGTGGGATTCAAAAACTGCTAACGCAGAACATCGTCGGTTTTCTTGGGGACTTCGTGCAATGGAGGTGAGGAAAGATCATATAAGCCCTTTTGTTCATTTTGAAAAAACCAATGTTACTGTGCATTCCTCCTTACATTGGTGGCTCATGATGATGGAAACTAAATAACTGTTATATGAATATTACTTAATTTTTTCTATTTGCTTTCTTTTGTGTTTCATGGCCCAAGCATTGTACAAAGCAAGTGCTGGGGAGCAGGCGGTTTTTCCCCAAAAGGAATATTGAAAACAAGAATGTATTCAAGGTTTATTCGTATGCTGTTTATGCTCGCTTCTTTTTGCATGGAAAAACTTTAAAGATAGAGATCTTCAGGTCTCTAACTTCAGCAGCTAGACACTAAGTGAAACAAAAAAGAAGACAGCTTAGCGTTGAGAAAATTAAAAACATCAATGAAGAATTGGGCTAATCTGGAGTTGTAAGCACTAAGCATGTTGGGAGTTTTCTAAGTTGGAAGTTCCTTGATTTAAATAAGAAAGTTTGAAATGTGGTGAAATACAATCTGAATAAGGAAAGAAAAATAATATGGATAAAGGAAACTTGTAAATAACCTCCTACATTAAGTCATAAAATCTGGTCCTTCGAGATAAGTCGTATAGACCAGAAAACATGAAAAGTGAATCAGTCAATAGGAAGAAGACTCCAACCTTTAGGGGACTATCTAATTCTTGTTTCAAGGGAGAAAGTAGGAATTCCGATGCTCTTTTGACTGGATATCTTCCTAGCATACCACAAATTAACTTATCACCATGATATGATGTAAAAAAGTTGATCTTCAGCTTAGTATAGAAAAGAAAGTTTGTCTACATTTGGAAGTAAATCAATCAAACATGCTTCAAAGCACTGCTCCAACTAAACAATGGAAAAGTTCTAGGCAAAGGGACAAAATGAGGCTTATATGTCTCCATGTTCTAGCAAACTATTGATATCTTGAAGTGTTCTAAAGACTTCTAAGGTTGCAAAATATATCATACCAATGAGTGCATGTGGAGATATTAAGAGCAGTTTGAATACCTTGTTTGTTTGATACTGTTATGTGATGTCATTGTAAGTTCATTTGGGCCTCCTTCCCTTGTTTGTCGTTTCCATCTTGCCCTTATCCTTCACTTTATTTATTGTTAGCATATAATGTTCATCTATATGCTGTGTAGTTCATAGAAATAATTCTTACAGAAAACTGAATGCTTTCTTTGTCTTTGCAGCGGCATGTCACTGATTTCTATATCTCCGATTTCCAGTCTGGATTAAGGGCTTTGGTCAAAACTGGATATGGTGCAAGAGTAACCCCTTATGTTGAAGAGTCTATTATTGTAGATATCGATCAATCAAACAGGGACATGTCACCCCAGTTTGTCAGATGGCTGGCAGATAGAAATCTATCCAGTGATGACAGAATAATGCGATTGAAAGAAGGGTATGATTTAACTCAATTTCAAAGCAACTTGAATATTTCTTCTGCTTGCATACTTATTTGATTATTGAGAGGCAACATGCTCAATCATATCTAGATGCAGGCTCTACCCTCTACAGTTTTATTGATTTGCATTATTGGTGAATAGATTTATTAGCTTTTTTATCCCTGCTTCCTTTACTACATCTATGTTCAGGTATATAAAAGAAGGTAGCACTGTCAGTGTAATGGGAGTTGTCCAGCGGAACGATAACGTTTTGATGATTGTTCCTCCTCCAGAGCCATTTTCAACAGGATGTCAGTGGGCTAAATGCATTCTTCCAGCCAGTCTGGAGGGTATTGTATTGAGATGTGAGGACAGTTCAAAGATTGATGTTATTCCAGTGTAGCAATTTTATCATTCAAGAAGGTTCTGCTGTTTTGGTCTTACAGTTGCCGGAAAACCCTCTTCCAGTGGCAGCAAGAATGGCATCTTGACACGGTTAACCAGATGTATAGCTTGTCAATTCAATTTTATTATTTTTCTTTTCCCTGTAATGGCGTTGGTTTGATCAATTGTGTAGAGGAAACATGTTGATTAGTGAGGATTTATGAGAGTTCTTTTGGCTAGAACTTTATTGATGTTGGGGGCTTTTCAAAACTTTTTGCCCTGATGCATACAAGCTATGTTTATTTGGTATTTGTAATTCTTTTGTGGCAATCTTAGCCACTCTCAAGGCATTCTTGCAAATGAAACCACTGCTCCGGCATATCTGCCTGATTGCTTGTTGAATAGCTTGAAAATCAGGCAAGGAGAAAGCTCGGTATTAATACTAATAAATGTATTCGTAGTTGCTTTCCATAGATTCCTGGGGTCCAGATGCAAACAAGAACTTGGTGTGATTTTTAATTGAGTAGAATATCAAATTCTTTCTATGTCACGACACGAAATCCAAACCAAGGAGTCGTAATAATGTCTAACACCGCTTACTACGCAAGCTAACACTTAACAATAATAAGAGATACCAAACTAACATTATACAACTTAACAATAATAAGAGATACCAAACTAACATTATACAACGTAAATCATAGATAAATGTAAAATTCAGAAATTACATAAAAAGTCTAAAGCAATACAACTGTTTAATGACCTCCCAAGACTGCTATCACTGTGTGCATGATTTTCTAAGGAGTACTAAATATAGAGTCTGAAATAAAGAACAACACTGCCTGATACAATACATAGCAACAGGGATAAGGAAGGTGACTCTAGAGTCTGCGAACGGAATGCAACACTACCTCGAGTCTCCCAGACATCCAAATTAGTCACCCTCGGAACACCGCTACGATCATAGCTAGAATTTGCACAAGAAGTGCAGAAGTGTAGTATGAGCACAACTGACCCCATATACTCAGTAAGTGCCGAGCCTAATCCTCACGAGGTAGTGACGAGGCTAAGACGAAGCTAAGACAAGACATCTACTATATAGACTCGAACAATTAATAAAAAAGAGAAATAACTATTGTGGCGACAAAAGAAATAGCAAGAAGAAGTAAGAGGAATAGTGAAATAATCAACTAAGGGAAATAACGATTCTATTTTCTCAATTAACAGAACCAAACCTTTCATAACATCTCAAATCCAAGAGAATGAAACGATAACCATGAAATAACATAGCCAAGTCCACAAATCCGCATAATAAAAGCAAAGAGGAAAAGATATCATATCAAATAGCACGACAATACCTCTCATTTCACCAAGCACGGAAACTCCTTTATATATATATATATCACTCTTCCTCACAAGCACGGAAACACCTTTTGTGCAATGGTAATAATACCATGGAAATACTCTTTGTGTATAATTACTCTTCCTTACAAGTACAGAATCACCCTTCGAGCAATCACTCTTTCACACCAAGCATATATAAAACAGTACCAAGCAATGTAAGAAGTATAAACAGTATCAAGAAGAGTGATTAAGCAAAATATACCACGTGAGAAATAATCACAACCTTTGCACTGTTAAACGAACCAATATCTCAAAAACCATGTGCACGGTGAAATTTGGGAGGCTGATTTCTCCTCGACTGAATACCTCGAAGGGTGATCCCAGAAGTCCGGGATCTCAAGCCAGTTACTTCCCTCAATATCGGTCGGTACCCTGCCAAAGATGGTGTCGACTAAAGCCCCGACGAATGCAGGAATCTCCCGAGGAATGCACCTGGGGTCGATCAGGTCTATTCAAGTGGCTCGACATCAGCCCACGCGTACATCGCAAAGCTAGCCGGTTGTCCCATCCTATTTCTTTTATCACGCAACGTATCTTGTAGGAAGTTGGGACTTCCCCCTTTCTATAAAAAGGGAGTCGCTAACACCCTGTAAAGGCAGATCTCCAACCATTCTACTCAAGTGCAATAATATCTTCTCTCTCCTTCTCCTCTCTAACTCTCTTGCCCTCACTGGATCGAAACCATTTAGCTTTTATTGCCTTCTTGCCTGTTCTTTGTTTATCACTTGGTACTGGCCCAAAGTCACCTTAACATCCATTGCCTTCTTACTTGTTCTTCATTATATTACTTAATATTGGCCGTGAAGAGCCTTGTTTAATTATATCCTCAACTGTTATGTCATTTCCGATAGCTCGAGCTCGACCCTGACGTCGACCCCGAGGTCCCCCATCGACTAGACCTATACCCGGGCAGCAGGCCCTTCGGTTCAATTACTATCCCGTTTTAGCTTGCATTTCGTCATTAAACTCCTTATTATTAGCATCAACTGCTCTAATAACTAGCTCGGGAATATATCACGTATTTTTAGAATCCCATTTATAAATCTAATTGTTGTTACCATTTTCACGGTAAACAGTTTGGCGCCAACCGTGAAGCTAAAAATAATAGTGATTATTTTCTTGCTGGTTTCATTGCATAAACGCACATTATCTTTCACACTTTTTCTTGTCCAAGATCCTTTGATTTCAGGTCAAAATGTCTGGCTCGGTAAACGGAGTCGAGAACGACAACCTCGAAAATCACGGGAAAAATGGCGTGGTTGTCCTGGTCGCCGGAGCACTACTACAGAATCCCGATAACGCGTCCGGACCAATTCTAGCGGGCACGGATTCACATTACGCACAACAAGTCGACGAAACTTCTCACCCCAATAGGAGCATACGGCACAACGACAGACAGGAAGCTCAGAAAACCCCGTCCCGGGAAGAATAGGAAGTTAGCCTTCATGTTATTTTTGAAATGTTGCAGGCACAGCAACTGGCCATTGCCCAGTTGCAAAGTCAACCGAAGACTCCCAGCACAGTGGCACCAGAGATAGCTCCCCTCGCCGAGCAAGTACCCGAAAGATCAAGCAATAATGGGTCGGTAGTAGACCCCGCCATAGTGAAGATGATCGAGGACCTCACCAAAAGGATCGAATCAGGTGAGAAGATGATTGCAGCCAATGATAAAAAGGTCTAGACCTACAACTCTAGGGTGGATCAGATCCCGGGAGCACACCCGGTCCTGAAAGGTTAGGATTCGAAGAAGTTCATACAGAGGCCGTTCCCCGAGGAAGTGGCCCCAAAGCCCATTCCTAAAAAGTTCAGAATGCCGGAACTCCCTAAGTACAACGGTACCACCGACCCCAACGAACACGTTACTGCCTATACCTATGCAGTATAAGGTAACAATATAAAGAATGACGAGATCGAGTCCGTAGTGCTGAAAAAATTCATAGAAATGCTCTCGAAGGGGGGGGATGATGTGGTATCACAACTTGGCTCCCAACTCCATAGATTCATTCGCCATGTTAGCAGACTCCTTCATAAAAGCACATGCTGGAGCCTGATGTGTCGGAGAATTTCGGCACATTTCAATACTAATTGCTTAGATTTTAGCTTGTTTTAATGCAATTATCTCCGTTACTTATGTAGTTTTGTTGTTTCTACAGTACATAAGGATTGAGAACCCAAGAACATGGAAATGGAAGCAAAAAGATAAGAAAAGAGCAAAATGTAGCAAAAATGCTGGTCTGTGATACACTATGCGATTGCAGATCAGACATGCGAACCGCAGAATGCACGTCAAATCGAAAACAAAAGTAGAGATCTGGGTTAAATCTCAAGTCAAGAATGTGGTCCATTATGCGAACGCAGAACCAACATGCGAGCCGCAGAGTGAACCGCAAACCAACCATGAAGGTAACTGAAGGACGAAGATGCGATGCAAAATGCGATCGCATTTCTGCAATGCGATCCGCATAATTGGAATGCGAAGAAGACCTGTAAACTAGGGTTCTAGTCTGCGATGAGGATGTTCAAGATGCGGACCGCATACATGCTCTGCGACAAGAATGCGATCGCATATCAGACCTGAAAGGGCATTTTTGTCCGTTTTCTGTCCCGATTTTGAGTCCACTATAAATAGTTTTATGATGTCTTTATGGGCTTATCTTGTCTAGTCTTTGAACTACATTCCAAGACATTAATATTCCTCACTTTTGGAAGCTTTTGGGTGAAGATTCTCTACTTTGTAAGCTTTTATGACATTAAATACTCTTTGGTTTTTGTATTGTAGTATGAGTAGCTAACTTTAAATACTAAGGTTGTGGACCCTAAATGGGTGTTATGCTAATGAGTGTTTAACATTGAATATATATATAATGATTGGTTGATATTTGTTTACTTCTCATTCTTCATTTATTGTTGAAGGTTGCAAACATTAACAAGTGCCATTAAATTCTTGCTTTGCTTGGGAAAGTGGGTTAGAATTTGCTAGAAGTAAATATCAATGACTCAAGGCTTTAAACCTTATTTAATAGAATCGCTTAGGAATAAGTGGGTTTTACTTGGCATATATTGATGGTTCTAAATTGCAACTCTTTTATATTTGGGAAAATTATAAAGAGGAAATACTACTCAACTATTGGGAAATATTGGGTAGTCACTTAGACATCATTTGCATATCAAAAGAACCTTCCATTAGAAATATATCATATTAACACCGATAAGCATTACACTCCATTAAAGGGGACACAACCTTGGTTTCTTTAATCCAATTAATTACTCTATAAATATTCCAATTAGTTGATACTTCCAAACAAACTCAATTCATACTCTTGTTACTATAAAACCATTCTCTTGTTACTGTTAACCGAATAGAGATACGACTTTAGTCGAGCAACACACTATAAGAGTAACCTTTTCACACCTATTCCCTGTGGGATTCGACCCCAACCTTGTTGGGTTATTATATTTTACACCGACCGCCTTACACTATTTATTAAAGTATAATTTGAGCGAATCAAATTTTGGCACCGTTGCCGGGGAATAAGGTTTTGAAATTACTATTTAATGTGTACTTTACTTAACGTCTATTTCTATTCCATCACGCTTTGCTTGCTTTGCTTGGTGTTGATAGGAAAACATGTCTGAATATGGTGATGATGCGGAGACAGAAATGGGAGAGAATCCTTTCGTAGACATCGAGGAGTACATTGAGGATACTAACGCCATTGTACCGCCAGCTGTTGGAGCTGCAACATTTAAAGTGGAACACGGTCTAATTCTGATGCTCAAGGCAGAAGGATTTTTCAGAAACTCCACAGATGATGATCCAACACAACACCTTAGGAATTTCTTGGGTGTGTGTGCAATGCACAAACAAAATAATGTCTCTGACGATGCCTTGAGGTTGAGATGCTTCAAGTATTCTCTAGCCGGGGATGCGAGGAAATGGCTCCAGAATCTGCCACCCAACTCTATCCATTCTTGGCCCAAACTTGTCCGGGCATTTTTGTCCAAGTGGTTCCCGCAGAGCAAAAAGTCTGAGTTGCGGGATAAGATTTTCTTCTTCAAGCAGATACAGGGAGAGCAGTTGCATGAGGCATGGGATCGCTTCAAATTATACTTGGTGAGGTCTCCAAACCACGGTTTTCCGGATTCCATGTTGTTGGAAAATTTTTATATGGGTTTGGATCCCATGAACCAAGCCATCGCCAAGAATGCAGCCGACAGATCTTTCATGGACAAATCATTTGCAAGAGTGACACAAATCTTGGACAAAATGGCAAAGCACAACCAAGCATGGCATTCAGAGGATACTACCGGAGGAATCTCATATGGCTCTCCTTCCTTGAGCAACTTAATCAAGGAAAATCAAGAGAGGGATCAAGTGATTGCCAGGCTTGCAACAAATGTAAATGTGCTAACAAAGATGTTTATCGAGAATCAGACAAAGAAAGTGAATGCAGTGGAAGATGTCCAACCCATCTTAGATGAAAATTTTGAGGAAGCAAATTATATCAACAACCCTCAAGGAGGGTGTCAAAGTCAACCCTACCATGGTCAAGGGCAACAAAGCCAGTGGAGGCCAAACCCGCAAGGGCAAGGCCACCAACAATGGAGAAATGATCAAGGTAACTCACATCAAGGAAATTGGAACAACAACAACTTTGCAAACCGGAGCTCCAACCCGTATGTTCCCCCAAAAGGTCATTATGCAAATCAAGGGTCGTCAAGTGAGTCAAAGTTAGAAAGCATGCTTGAAAGAGTATTGCAAAACCAAGAAAAGTCTGACGCGTCCATGAGAAACATGACCGAAGTTGTTGGCTCTCACACCGCATCTATCCAAAAGTTAGAGATGCAAATGAGAGACCTTTCAAGAGAGCAAAACCCAAAGCAAAAAGGGCAACTTCCTAGTGATACCATTGCGAACCCGAAGAGTGGTGGAAGTGGCTCAACTTCTCACGTCATGGAAATAACTACTAGAAGTGGGAAGGTTTTACGAGGTGACATTAAGCAAGAGGTTGTTGGGGAAGAAGCCAAACAAGAAGTTGAAGCAGAAGAGCAAGGGGTTGTTGAAGTTGAAAGGGTGCCGGAAAAAGAGAAGGTGCAGGAAGTGAACCAAGAAGGGGTGAAGGAAAAGGAGAAGGAGACATCAAAAGCTCCACCTCCTATTCCTAGACCTCCTTCGCCTTTTCCTCAAAGACTTATTAGAAGGGTTGATGATAGCAAGATTGAGAAATTCTATGATATTCTAAAGCAATTATCGGTGAGCATTCCATTCTTGGAGGCTTTTCAAGAAATGCCGGGGTTTGCCAAATATTTGAAGGATTTGATCACCAAAAATAGGACCACAAAGAATGAGATGGTAAACATGACTCACCGGGTTAGCTCTATTATTGCCACAAGACCTGTCCAAAAGAAAGAGGATCCGAGAGCATTTACTATTCCATGCACTATCGGGGAGCGTGACTTTGCAAAAGCCCTTTGTGACAATGGGGCTAGCATCAACTTGATGCCACTTGCCATCTACAAGCAAGCGAGATTAGGGATGCCGAGGCCAACAAGCATGAGGTTACAAATGGCCGATCGATCTATTAAGCGACCAGTAGGAATTGTTGATGATGTGATTGTGAAAGTTGGAAAATTCCATTTGCACGCCGACTTTGTAATTCTTGACTGTGCTGTTGATAAAGAGATCCCTATCATCTTGGGGATACCATTCCGAACCACGGGAAGAGCACTCATGGATTCGGAGTGAAATGAAATTAAGTTCCGGGTGAATGATGAAGAAGTC